TCCTTTCCTTTACACAAAGGACACTCACCTTTAGTAACAAAGAAACAGTCATGAGGAGGGAACAAGCAGACATGCCTCCAAGGCCAAGCATATGTAGAGTTCTCCTTCCTGCCTTTTCCACCAGAAATAGCTAAAAGAAGAAGAATAGCATGAAACTTCTGATTCCCCTTTCATGAAGATACCTAAGAAAATACTTGCTATAGTTACATCTCCCTTTTTCTAGTTTCAAGTTCAAAACATCCTGCATAAAGAATCCCTTCTATGCCTCTCTTTCCCATCCATCCATATTTGCTTGTAGACTGAAGGCTGGTTACACTCATCATTCAGTGAAATTCTTTTTCTCAAAGAGGATTTAAACAGGAACAACAAAAAGATTTAATTAAATAACAGTAGGGAGGTCAAAGGACATGGCAATCCATCTTCGAATATCTATAGCAAGCACTCCTCTTTGGATTTAATAATCGTCTTCCAAATTATTAAACTATCTAACTTACCGAAACCACAGTGAAGATAGTATTAACCACACCAGCACCAATGGTGGCATAGATTGGCTCTCCAACACCTGCATCTTTGAAGATTCCTGTAGAGTAATAGAATACAGCGTTGATTCCAGAAAGCTGCTGAGAGAGCTGGAGCATGATAGAAATCATGATGGGCTGGTGGTAGTTCGGTGCTCTGAAGAGCTCAAGCACCGTGACTTGCTTTTCCTGGGCCATCTGAGCACTCTCATCTTTCATCTCCTGGATGTCCTGGCTCACATCCTGGGTACCCCACAACTGCTGGAGGATTTGCTTGGCATTTTCCTCTTCCTGTCTGTTAATGAGCAAGAATCTAGGGCTTTCAGGGCAAAATGGAAGGGCTGCACTTTGCAGGACAGCTGGAATGATGGTGAACCCCAATAGCACAGGCCACAGCTCTTCAGATCCCAAGATGACTTCCAGACCAAAGATCTGGGCTACCAGAATCCCAATGACGATGCCCAGCTGGTTTAGAGTGCCAAAGGCACCCCGTAGGGCAGTAGGAGATACCTCTCCAATGTACATGGGCACAAAACCTGTGCAGAGTCTGCAGAAGAGACCAATAACCAAGCGGCCCAAGATCAGCATTTCAACTGACTGAGCTATTTTACAGAACCCCATAAGGCAGCCACCTGCGATAGCCAGTATGTTGACAATAAGCATGAATTGCGCCTGCCAAAGCGATTGACAAAGAGTCCAACGGAGAAGGAGCCAATCATACCACCAACAGGGAAGATAGCCACAGACAAGGACCAGAGGGAAGTGAGCAACAATTCTGTGGGAGGGTTTATTAACTTCTCTTCCAAAGTGTAATTGAGAAAGTCCCTTATGATCAACTCAGGAGCATTAATGACACCGGTGTTGTAGCCAAACTGGAAAGAGCCGATCTTAGCAATGCTGATGGCAAAGACCAGAGAGGTGGTGACCTTCTCTGTCCCCATGACCCTAATTTAGTTATTTCAGAATCCTCAATAAAGACCTGCGATGGGATTACAGAAACACCTCTTCCAGTCAACAAAACCTTCAAAATGTCCTTTTCAGCAGCAAGTTTTCTTCAGGTCCTCAGTTAGACGCACTCAATCCTTGCCAGTAAAACATCTCAGATCTTTGCACATTTCGTTGTAATACTTGACTTTGTCTTCTCCAGCTCACCTTTGAAATTTTCTGTTCAGGTGTTTTACCTCCTCATTTCTTCGATTTGCTTTAGCATCTCTGTGCTGGAGTGCAAATTCTGTGTCTCTTCTGAGACATGAGTGGTGGCCAAATCCTTTAATATGTTCTTTATAAAGCTTTCTTCCTGAAATAGCCCACACTTCCTAGTAGTGAGCTGTTTCCCTTCCTGCACTAGGTAGAAACCCAACTTGTTTCTTTGACTGGAGGCCATTGACCAATAATCCTCAGTCCTCAAGAGCTTTTGTGGACAGAAAAGACTTGTTCCTTTATCAGGGAGACCTACTGTAATAACCACTGTCATTTATTACATGCCAACTGTATGTTCGGCTGGCCTTTAACATGTATTGTTTAAATCTTAGCACTAAAACTCTGACACTTTTGACTTTCCCCATTTTGCAGCTAAATAAGCTGAGGGTTAGAGAAACTTGTCCACATCTTTTACTTCTCTTGCCCCGCCATAATTGTTCTAAAAAGGTTGTTGTTCTTCATTGCTTTTGAGTCTATTCTGAGTGGTGGAAACCCCATATGTGCAGAGTAGATCTGCTCCATAGGGATTTCAAGGCTGTGACCTTTTAGAAGCAGATAGCCAAGCCTGGCTTTGAGGCATCTCTAGGTGGATTTAGACCACCAGCCTTTCAGCTAGTAGTCAAGTGTTTAAGCATTTCTACTACCCAAAGTAGAAATTGAAAGTGGACTCTCTCATCCTGTCTTACATAGAAAGCTGGATATAATGCATTCTAAAATAGTCATATATCTGTTCAATTTTAAATGTTTTTGGCATCTGATATTCTACATTTAATTTAAATTTAAATAACTGCTGTTGATGGATTTTAGAAAACTAACATACTTTGATAATAAATTTTCACAGGTGACCGCATAAATTTCCTTTTTATACTTCTGAGTTTTTCTCATTTGAATGCTCCACTAGAATTATACATTATCAGGTATGCCTGAATGCCGCTTCTGAAATCATATCAAATATGGATCTATTTATAAATTTTTTTTGCAGATACTGCTTGTTGTTGTTGTTAGTCCTTTTCCAGGGACTAGTCCCTCCTGATGATGTGTCTGAATTATGAGAGACAAAGTCTGGCCATTCTGGCTTCCAAGGAGTATTCTGGCTGTACTTCCTTCTTTCAACACAGATTTATTTGTTCTTTTGGCAGTCTATGATACTTTTAATATTCTCCTTCAAAATCATAATTCAGATGCTTCAATTATTCTGTGGTTTTCCTTATTCACTGTCCAACTCTAACATGCATATGAAGCTACTGAAAATACCATGACTTGGGTCAGGCACAACTTTGTCCTCAAACTGACATCTTTGCTCTTGAACGCTTTAAGAGATCTTGCTCAGTGCATTATGTCATCTGATCTCTTGACTGTCTATTCCATGAGTGTTGATGGTTGCCCTGAACAAAATGAAGTCTTTGATGACTTATATCTTTCCTCAGTTTATATGGATGATATTTTTTGGTTCAGTGGTGTGGAATTTTGGGGGGTTTTTTTGTTTTTGTTTTTAAAAACTGAGGTGAAACCCATACCGAAGTCTGTGGTCTTTGGTCTTTACCAGTAAGTATTTTAAGTGCTCTTGGCTTTAAGCAAGCAAGGTTGTATCATCTGCATATTGCAGGTTTTTGATGAGTCTTCCTCTAATCCTGATACCACATTTTTCTTCATAAAATCCAGTTTCTCATAGTATTTGCTCAGCATACAGGTTAAATAAGTATGGTGAAAGAATACAACCCTGGCAGACACTTTTCATAATTTTAAACCATTCAGTGGTCCCTTTTTTGATTTTAAATCATTCAGTATCCCCTTGTACTGTTCGAATAATTGCCTCTTGTTCTCTGTATAGGTTCCTCATGAGTATAATCAAGTGTCCCGGAATACTCATGCTCCTCAATGTTATCCATAGCTCATAGCTTATCATTATCCACATAATCAAAAGCCTTTGTGTAGTCAATAAAGAATAGGTAAAACAAACATCTTTTTTGGTATTCTCTACTTTCAGCCAAGATCCATCTGGAATCAGCAATGATATCCATCATTCCATGTCCTCTTCTGAATCTGTCTTGAACCTCTAGAAGTTCTCTATCAATGTATGGTTGCAGCCATTGCTTTATTACCTTTAGTAAAACTTTACTTGCATGGGATAGTAAAGATATTGTCCAATGATTTCTGCTTTCCGCTAGGTCACCTTTGTTTGGAATGGGCACCAATATAGATCTCTTCCAGTCAATTGGCCAGGTAATTGTATTCCAAATTTCTTGGCATAGATGAAAGAGTTCCTCCAGTGATGCATCAGTTTGTTGAAAGATTTCAATTTGTATTCTGTCAATTTCCAGCACCTTGTTCTTTGCCAATGCCTTCAGTGCACCTTGGACTTCTTCCTTCAGTATCATTGGCTCTTTTTTTATTATTATTATTAAATGTTTTTATTTTGGATTGAGTGAAAGTTTACAGGGCACATCATCAGCTTCACATTCAACCATTCATATAGCTTGTTTCATTACATTGATTATTATCCCCTCTATATATCATCAGTTAACAGTGTTTCTCTCTATCCTCTTTAGCTTTTTTTTTTTTTTGGGGGGGTGGGGGAGGGAACTTGCCTGTTTTGGAATTTACAGTCTTGGCTTTTAGGGAAGGTTTTTACATTTTCTGTGGATATCAAGGGTTCATGTATGAGATTACTAACAAGCATTACTGAATAATCAGAGGAGGGACAGTTTGCTATGTCTACTAGGTGGCTAAAGTCTGATCCTCAGAGCCTATGGTTTGGACGGTCAACACGCTTGGGCCCACAGGGTCTTGACCTCCTGACCGGGTCTGCACGGTCTGCATCAGATTCCCCCTTATTTATTGTTTGTTTAAGAGACGCTGCCTGTCTTAGGCGGTCAGTGCGAATTCCTCAGTCTTACCCGTCATCGAAACTCATTGCAGCATGGCAATGGCTCTGATCATTGGCTCTTGATCACATGTTACCTCTTGAAATGGTTGAGCATCAACCATTTCTTTTTGTATTTTTTTTTTTCTTTAAGTTTTTATTGTGGATTGAGTAAAAGTTTACAGGGAAGATTATCAGTTTTACATTAAATGAATCGTACAACTTGTTTCATCACAATGATTACAATCCTCTCCATGTACCATCAGTTAACAGTATTTCTCTCTATTCACTTTAGCTCTTTTTAAAAAACAAAAAATACTCAGGTAGAGTTTCCAGTAAGTGGTGTCCAGCCTGTCCAGGAAGGGCTGATGAAACGAAATATAGATGGGTCTCTTATGATGCAATGGTGAATAATTGTTATCAGGACTGATTGTGAGGGTTGGAAATCTAAGGATGGACGTTTTGTAACAAAGAGGGGAGTGATTGACTTATCAGTCTAGGAGCGGAGGACCCTGGGACCATCAATGGAGAAGAGCGAAGAGCGGAATCCTACCCAGAGAGGCAGTGAGGCCTGGGATGGAGGCAGAGAAGACAACGTCAAGAGATGGTGGGGCTGGGGGCTCGGGATCAGGAGATGGAAAGGGGCTGAGGACTGTGGTGGGGGGGGGCAGGTTTACAGGGTACACCCCTTGGTTGGGTGAGGATGCATGGACAGGATAATAACTATGCCAACGAAATGATGGGTGATGGAATGAATGTAAAGCTGATGTTCTCCCATGTAGACTATCATACAATTCATAATAAAACATAAAAAAAAAAAATACTCAGGCATATACAATAATTTACACTACCATACAGGTCTCAGGCACCATACCTATTGTTATGGAATTTATTAGGGAAGTTAACAGGTTACAAAGGATCACATTGGCTCTATCTGATAAGTACTAGACTATGAACCACAAGGTTCACGGTTCAAGCCCACCAGCTGCTCTGTGGGAGAAAGATGGGGCTTTCTGCTCCCACGGAGATTTAAAATCTCGGAAACCCTGAACAGGGTGTCGTGATGAATCAGAACAGATTCAGCTGCACTTAACAGCAACAGGTGCAATTCATGATTAGAAATGCTGATGGCCTAGTTGTTCTAGTAAGAACAGTCTCTCTCAGCTGTGCCCATGTCAGGCCTTTCTCTGCCTGGCCAATATTGTAAAGCTCTTTTAGGGTTGCTGTTGAATGCCCATAGGAAACACAGTTCCACGGTAAGTCTCAGTCTGAAGACACTCAGGTGTAGCGCAGTGATGAGCCAACATTGCTCTCCCCTCTACCCCCAAATTAAGTGCCTGGAGGCATCTCACTCTACCAACAGCCTCCTGCCCAAAGGTTCTCAGCTTTACTTGCTCTGTCTCATGCACTGGCTCTTGGTTTTGCTGCTGCTACTACTCTACCACTTCCCTGGTGTCACAGCATTCTCTCAGTGGGTTGAGGAAGTACAGTGCACAGAGATCTCTTGGTCCAAGTGATGCACCCCATTTGACTGGCTCTTCTTCTGTGATAATGATAATAAGATCCCCTTCCTGCTTCTGAGATGGCTCATTTTATACCCATGGTAGAATTTCAAGTTTTTACAATCGCAATTAGTTGTTAACATTCATAGCTAAATCTTGTCATCCTATCAAAATCTTCTTCCACCTCCTTTTACCCAGACCCCTCAGGAAAAGATTCCTTTGGTGGGAGTTACAAAGACTAAGGCTAGAAGAGACATATTAAATAATTTACTATACCACAATGAATAATGTTTTATTGCACTACGTATTTGTTCATTCACCTTCAGTCTTGACCTCCTTTAGTATAAAGTTCTGTTACAATTCTAATTATGTAATT